TCCATAGTTTGATATTGGTCACTTAGACGCAAGAGACAAAGAGCTCTTGTAGCTACGAGGCACCGATTTCATCCGTGACAATCGACCCTTGTGTGCTCGCGATACACGAAATGGAGTCGTGCATGTGAGAATCGATAAATTTACGATTCGTATCCTTTTCTCCATTGCTAATCCATCGGTAAGGAGTTGTGTTTTTTTAGTTGCATTTTTTTAATGCCTTCCCCCCCACCTTCACCCCACCACCACGTGCAGGGTTAGGGGGACCTCCCAACGCCTCCAGGCTGGGTGACCTTGAGGGCCGTGTCAGTTTGCAGGCTCCGTTTCACCGTGGTGGGTGCAGCGGCCAGTCTCTCCACCTCTTCACGGCTCAACCTTTTTACCGTTCAGAGACGTCTGCCAGTTGCAGTGGGTCCTGTTCACCCGCTGGAATCTCGGAACGCGCAAGCGGTTTGTGTCGCATTTATTTAGAGGGGCATAGCGCTGTTGTTGTTGAAGACATTGTACTCACCGAAGAGAACTGCAGCGACACAACCACGCTATAATTGTTGGTGCCAAACTGTGCCACACGTCTTCCCGCATCGCCTTACGGGAGCCCCTGGAAAGGTGATGTGTTCACCTTGTGACGTGCAGGGGCAAGGTTACATTCTGGGGTCCCTTATGCAAAAAAGCGATTTTTTTTAGATGAATGTATTTTTATTAATCGTTATGGCCCAAGTTGTGTTTGTTTACTGATGCGCAAGAAAATAAACGTGGAAATTGTAGACTGCTCGGTTTCCATTGAAGCGCGTAACGCGAGAGTGCAGGTACAGTTCCATCCTCGTCAGCCATGATCGATCCACTGCTGGATGAAGGCCTCGCCAAGCTGTTACCGTGTCGCGGTCCTGCGATGTAACATCGCCCGATGCATGTAGATGCAGTGATTTGTTGTGATTTGTTTTGTTTAAAACATGTTTACGGTGGGGTTTTAAGAGGCCGCTAATTCACAAAGCACAGCACATCTCTCATTGCCTTTCAAACGGAGCAGACTTTCTTAGAAAAAAAAAACGTACTTCGCGTGTAAAGGGGCCGTCCATAAATGACGTCACTCACCTGGGGGGGGGGGTCACATTTGTGACGATGTGTGACGGGGAAGGGGTTTGAAAAATGTGACGTCACATCAAAATGCGCAACTTTAAATCAATATAATCAACACGTTCTACTTAAATATACTTTTTAATAAATGTTTTCTCCTACAACATCAGAGTGCAGCTCCACATTAAATACGCACTGCAATGACAATAGTTTAAAGCGATTTGAAGCATGTTTTTTTGGGGGGGCAGAGCTGTATTGAATCGAACCTGTATCTTGTGTTCGGTTCAATACAGTACACAAAATTCGTGATCTGATCCCATCCGTAAAATATGTCATTCCTGACTTACAGTACCCCGGTGTTTACAAATTGAGTTGTATCTGCGGTGACTGCTATATCGGGGAGACGAAACGACATATTTCTGACCGAATTCGCGAGCACAAATAAGACTTGAAACACGGCAGAACGAATTCTTCGGCCGTGGCTGATCATTGTCTCAACACAGCGGGTTCTCGTGACATTGTTTTCTCCGATACCAAAGTACTATGCAAACCTCCCGGTTATTACCAAAGATTTGTCCATGAAGCCATCCAGATATACAAACATAGACACAACTTCAACCGAGAGGATGGTTTTAAATTAAGCAACCACTGGAAAGATGTCATAAACCAAGTCAAAACTTCAGCTACCTTAAAAGCGCACAGCCTTTTTTTTTACCATGTTTCATTGCCCCCGTGCAGTGAACCACCGCTCCCACGAACCCTCAACATGACAAAAGACGGATTAACTTGGCCTCGTCGTGGCTCCTCGCTTGGCTCCTCCCCCCACCTTAACCTTAGCCCCACACCCCATCAATGTCCTCTACTTGGCTCCTCCCCCCACCTTAACCTTAGCCCCACACCCCATCAATGTCCTCTACTTGGCTCCTCCCCCCACCTTAACCTTAGCCCCACACCCCATCAATGTCCTCTGCTTGGCTCCTCCCCCCACCTTAACCTTAGCCCCGCACCCCATCAATGTCCTCTGCTTGGCTCCTCCCCCCCACCTTAACCTTAGCCCCGCACCCCATCAATGTCCTCTACTTGGCTCCTCCCCCCCACCTTAACCTTAGCCCCACACCCCATCAATGTCCTCTACTTGGCTCCTCCCCCCCACCTTAACCTTAGCCCCACACCCCATCAATGTCCTCTACTTGGCTCCTCCCCCCCCCCTTAACCTTAGCCCCACACCCCATCAATGTCCTCTACTTGGCTCCTCCCCCCACCTTAACCTTAGCCCCGCACCCCATCAATGTCCTCTACTTGGCTCCTCCCCCCCACCTTAACCTTAGCCCCACACCCCATCAATGTCCTCTACTTGGCTCCTCCCCCCACCTTAACCTTAGCCCCGCACCCCATCAATGTCCTCTACTTGGCTCCTCCCCCCCACCTTAACCTTAGCCCCGCACCCCATCAATGTCCTCTACTTGGCTCCTCCCCCCCACCTTAACCTTAGCCCCGCACCCCATCAATGTCCTCTACTTGGCTCCTCCCCCCCACCTTAACCTTAGCCCCGCACCCCATCAATGTCCTCTACTTGGCTCCTCCCCCCCACCTTAACCTTCGCCCCCCACCCCATCAATGTCCTCTACTTGGCTCCTCCCCCCACCTTAACCTTAGCCCCGCACCCCATCAATGTCCTCTACTTGGCTCCTCCCCCCCACCTTAACCTTAGCCCCACACCCCATCAATGTCCTCTACTTGGCTCCTCCCCCCACCTTAACCTTAGCCCCTCACCCCATCAATGTCCTCTACTTGGCTCCTCCCCCCACCTTAACCTTAGCCCCGCACCCCATCAATGTCCTCTACTTGGCTCCTCCCCCCCACCTTAACCTTAGCCCCACACCCCATCAATGTCCTCTACTTGGCTCCTCCCCCCCACCTTAACCTCGCTCCCTGCTTGGCTCCTCCCCCCCACCTTAACCTTAGCCCCACACCCCATCAATGTCCTCTGCTTGGCTCCTCCCCCCACCTTAACCTTAGCCCCACACCCCATCAATGTCCTCTACTTGGCTCCTCCCCCCCACCTTAACCTTAGCCCCACACCCCATCAATGTCCTCTACTTGGCTCCTCCCCCCCACCTTAACCTTAGCCCCACACCCCATCAATGTCCTCTACTTGGCTCCTCCCCCCACCTTAACCTTAGCCCCACACCCCATCAATGTCCTCTGCTTGGCTCCTCCCCCCCACCTTAACCTTAGCCCTGCACGCCGTCGTGGCTCCCTACTTGGCTCCTCCCCCCCACCTTAACCTTAGCCCCGCACCCCATCAATGTCCTCTACTTGGCTCCTCCCCCCCACCTTAACCTCGCTCCCTGCTTGGCTCCTCCCCCCCACCTTAACCTTAGCCCCACACCCCATCAATGTCCTCTACTTGGCTCCTCCCCCCACCTTAACCTCGCTCCCTGCTTGGTTCCTCCCCCCCACCTTAACCTTAGCCCCACACCCCATCAATGTCCTCTACTTGGCTCCTCCCCCCACCTTAACCTCGCTCCCTGCTTGGCTCCTCCCCCCCACCTTAACCTTAGCCCCGCACGCCGTCGTGGCTCCCTGCTTGGCTCCTCCCCCCCACCTTAGCCCCGTACGTCGTCGTGGCTCCCTGCTTGGCTCCTCCCCCCCACCTTAACCTCGCTCCCTGCTTGGCTCCTCCCCCCCACCTTAGCCTGTATATAAGCTCGAGTGTCTCAGAGCTCACCACGTGATGCAGCTACCTTGCTGTGACTGTTCCACCTGAAGACGGAAGCTTGTGTTGCCTCCGAAACGTCGTGATTTCATTTAGTTGTTTTCTTTCATTTTGATTTTGTTTTATCTACGTGACTTTACCGAAAAAAAACCAAAGAGTATGAAGACTTGCAGTCGCGAAATCTTCAAATCTAGAAGTAGCCAAATACCCTATAAACGCATGTTGACTCTCAATGTGGAGGGGATACCCCAAAGATGACCCAGAGAAAAATCCGCGCTACTTCGGAGAACATGCAAACTCCAAATATACAGCAGACACCAGGGTTGGAATCAAACCCACGACCTCCTATTTACCAGGCGAAGTAGTTAACATCGTGGTCATTGTGGCTGCTGATACCTTCATTAGCTCAGTATGTATAGGACCGCAGAGCGTGGGCAATTGTTGGTGCCGGTTCACGGCGTGGTTGCTACTGCATCCTCGCATCTCTGAGTCGTTCTCTCTCACTGCGAGAGGGATTATTATCGTTTCACCATTCATAAAATTACCACAATACCACACGAGAAACGAGATGCAACGCCTTTGGAATCGATATCGCCGTGTCATTCGATTTAATGATTCGATTATTTGATTGTTCGATTTATGGTGCGCACACGTTCACGCTGAATTGACAGCGGGTTGAAATATTTAACGATTCGATTCCCCTTGCTGCAGAATCGTATATACAGTATTCGTACGCCATCTAACGAATCGATCACTTCGTATAATCATCAATTCATTACCGCCTTTTGAAACAACCACAGCCAAATCATATTAACCGACGTAATCGATTCTTACCGCCAGATTCAATACTGAACCAGACCGGACAACCATAGGAATCGGTTATATATGTAAAGATCCCCCGTGTAGCCTTCCCAGACTGTTGGGGCAAGTGCTGTTAGCGAGCAGCACCTGTTAAGACCGGCACTGTGGCACACGAGGGGGGGTGGGTGACCAGCGCCACGCCCGGCCGCCTTTGTCTCCCCCCAGTGGCGATGTTTACACACCACTGCGCCAGGTACTAATTTGAGGCTGAGTCGACCTAGGGGGCGGGGGGAGGCCTAGGACCGGTTCAGATAATTGTCACTGGGTGTTGGTGGCCACGTGAGCTGGAATGGAACTCAGGAGGGGGGGGGGGGTGTTCGTAGCGCAGCGCGCTAACCACTGTTCCACCGCTCCACCCCCCCTCTCACACCCGCTGCAGTGTCACGTGCTCCAGCAATGGCGGCGCCCGTAGCGTACAACGTGTGGCGACGCGTCTGAGTAGCCGAATCCGATCCACGATCAAGAAAGACGAAGACGGCCGGGCGAACTTGACGACGCATAGGTTTGTCGTCTTCAGAGCCGCCCGCCTCCTGCTCGTAAACGGTAAGCTGCGGGCTTATCGGTTCGGGCATTTCACAGCTCGCTACACTGTACGAGTGATAGCCACCGCTTGAACGATTCCCACCCGCGCGCGAGCCGCTCGCCCGATTCGGCTTTTTTGGTTTGTTTGTTCGGGTTTGTACCGCGTGACGTTCGGCGTCATGGTAGACGAAACGTCGGACATCGTCGACCGAACAAACACGAGACGCATTCCTTGAGTTTATAAAAGTCGCGATCGCGGGCGCTCTCGACGCAGCGGGGTGGTAAACTCGTCGCTGGCGCCGCGTGGCAGGGCCCTTCATCCAGCAGTGGATAGAACACAAGGCCTGTTAGAATTTTTTTTTCGTAAAAAATTATAATTGACAGATACTTCATTATGTGTGGTCGAGGATTAACTTTTTGCGTTACCTCTGCATTGAACCCTCCCCCCGGACTATTTGTGAATCGCTATATTTAACCCTGTTGCGAACCTAGAGGTCGTTTGCCGTATTCTGCATCCAAACCCTTCCCTCGCTCCATCTTTGAGATTTCCTTCATCGAACCCCTGCGTGAGGCGAGGGGCAGGGAGGGGGCCTTCATCCAGCAGTGGATTGACCGTGGCTGACGAGGAGGCCTATATGATAATGAATCACGAGGTCCCGCCACGCAGGTCATTTGAACCACGAGGTCGCTTGTGCACTCATTCAGAACCTCCCTCGTGTGTTACCTTGGAGAACCACGCGGCGACCAGTGAGTGTTGATCCCCCTGGAAAAGGGGAGCCCTCCAGTGAACGCATTGCACAGTACTGTCTGATGCGACAAGACGTCATTGTTGGCGGTTTCGCGTTGCCCGTGGACAAATCACCCGCAACGCATCCGAGCCCGCAGAATCTTGGAAGCAAAGCGCGTTTGGCGCCACTCTTCGCAGCTGACAAGTGTTAAGAGGATGCTGCTGCGTTGGCAGTGGTGCACAATTAACAAACCGCAAACAACTCATCAATTACACTGCCTTAAATAAAACATGTATTTATGCTGGAGCAACATTCGAGCAACGTTTCGGGCAGTGGCCCTTCTGCCTAGGCTATTATATATCACTAGCTTTTTTTTGGCCGTCCAAGGACGGGTGTAATATTGCGGTAAATCTGAAATATTCAATAGAAAAATAGTTTAGTTTCATGATTATTAATGAGGGGGTTGCCCCATGTGGAGTGACGTCACCCTCTAATGGTTATTGGGGAGGGGTGCGTTAGTGTAAATTTCCACGCGGGCATGAATATTAATGACGTCACACACTTATGTAGCACTGTGCTGCATACATTTATTTTAGACCGTCAATTTCTGTAAATTAACGTCATATTTGAAGCGACTTTGCGGAATAAATGATTTAATTTAGCTCGATCTTCGTCTGCGTTCGTGTAAAAATCCACCCACTCATGAATATTAATGAGGGGGGGTGGGCCTCATGTGGAGTGATGTCACGCGGGGGGGGGGCTCATGTGGAGTGACGTCACGCGGGGGGGTGGGCCTCATGTGGAGTGACGTCACACGCGGGACACATTCTTGGCTCATAGCCTATTGCTATATTCTTTGGTAGATAATATGAAATAAAGTGAATAAAAGTAATAACTTAATAACCAGTCTACAGTCTACATTATAGACTGCCAGTACACGCCTATTAAGAACCAGGCTACAGTCTACATTAGTGTTAAGTACCCCACCCCCCACCGTTTCCCTGCCAGTGTAAACTCACAGGGTGGTTTACACTGGCGTGGTTTATTATTATTTTTCATACATTTAATCAATTTGTCCTTGTTTCAATCAGGATGCTATTGAAGATAGAGTTGAATCGTAACAACAACAGCCGAAATAAAATCAACTCAAGATGCTGCGGGGCGCGAGGTTCCTGCTCGCTGCTGCATCTCGGCCGCGGTGCCGGGCCCTCCACAGTTACGCAACCGAGGCCGAGTCCGTCCGCTCAGGGCTCCTCCCGTCATCATCTTCTCCTCTTCGCTTGGCCCTCGCAAGCGCGAGCTGCAGGAGGCAGTTCCACACGGGAATCGCGAGGTCTGCCAAGTCGTCGGCTCAGGGAGGCGACCGCTTTGAGTTGCCCGACGATAACGATGACCACGACGACGACGATGACGTCGTGAAGAGGGCGAGCGGCGTGAGGTCGAGGGTCAGGGCCAGGCGAGGCCGGGCCGTGGCAGCCGACTTCGAAGATGATGATAATTTTTTCGCGAAAATTGAAGCCCAATCCGAACGGTCAGGGGGGTCGGCTGCCCCTGTCCAGGAGAGACGCCCTCGCAAACCGCGTCACGAGCTGCACGAAGAAGACTTTGAAGAGCTGGAAGGAGGACGACGAGGAGGAGGAGGAGGAAGAGGAGGAGACGGTGAGTTCAGCTCCAGGGAGGCGACGACGGGCAGCAGGGCGTTCGGGCAGGCAACTTTCGGCAAACCCAACGCGAATCCGAGGCGTGGCGACTCCTGGGATGAAGGTGGCGACGGAGGACGGCTGCAGGAAGACGAGCGCGGGCAGCGCGGTGGCCACGTCAAACAGAGCAAGGGCCGGGCTCCGCACAGGGAGACGGCGTCGCACTATGGGCGATCCGACGACACCTACGACAATGACGGTGACGACGACGACGCGTACCTGAAGAGGGCGACACCGGCGCGCGCTACCGGGGGAGGACAAGCCAGGGCCCGGGACGACGGCGACTATAGCCACAGGGCGAAGGACGACTTCGCGGTCGACTACGGCTACAAGAGAAGAGACGGCGAGCGCGGCGAATCGGGCTACAAGAGAAGGGACCGAGGTGACTACGACCACAGGCCGAGGGAAGGCGGCGACTACGGCTACAAAGCGAAGGACCGTGGCGACTTCGGCTACAAGAGAAAGGATGGCGGCGGTGGTGGTGGCGGCGGTGGCGGCGGCAGCGCTGGTGACGGCGGCTACGGCTACAGGGCGAGGAACAGTGGCGGCAGCGACTACGGCTACAAAGCGAAGGACGACTTCGGCGTCAACTACGGCTACAGGGGGAAGAACGGGGGCGACCGCGGCTACGATCGCGGCCGCGACCAGAGAGGCCCCCCAGGCAAGGCGCGGGGTTTCTCCGCAGGGGCCCCCTGGGAGAAGAGCGGGGAGCGCGGCCCCTGGCGGCGCTCGGACCCCGTGTCGGGGCACCGGAGCGAGGACGCCGGCGATGGGGACATGCTGTTCGGCATCGCACCGGTGCACATGGCGCTGCTGCACGGACACCGCGAGTTCAGGCGCCTCCTGCTCAACAGGAAGCGCAACCCCGAGCGGCCCGAGGTAGCGATGGACACGTTGTCGTCAGGGTCGTCGTCAGGGTCATCGCCATCATCGCCATCGTTACTCTTATCGTAATCAACACGATCATCCTAATTGTCGTGATTACCGTCATCTCCGTCGTCATAATCATCTTAATGCACTTAATTATAATTTGCATCATCGTTTTGGCTATCAGTTGCTTCATTGTTATTATCATGATCGGCATTGTCATCGTCGGCATAATCTGTCGCTTTTCCATTGTTCACGTCATTTTTTACTTCTTCGTTGCTTTGATTTACACAGAGTTTATAAACCAGACGGAGGAGAGGTGGCACAGTGGTTAACGTATCACGCGATTTCGATTCCCGGCTACTGCCTACATCATTGGGTGTGCCCCCCCCCCCTTCATCCACCTGCACTCACCATCGTGATAAAGTACGGTCAAATAAACCCTACCACCAACACGGTGCCATGCAGAGGCCTTCATCTGGCAGTGGACTGTAAGGGCCGCGTCGCCGGCGACAGTTTCCACCGACGATTGCTCTAAAAGATCCTCCGTGTAGCCTCTACAGACTGCTGTGAGCATGTAGCACCTATGAAGGCTGGCGCGGCACACAAGCGGGTGGGTATCCAGCACCACGCCCGACCGCCTTTGTCTCTCAAGTAACGATGTTTACACACCGCACCAGGTACTCCTCATTTGAGGCTGCGTCGACCTAGGGGACGAGGCCCAGGACGGGTTCGGATAATCGTCACTGGTGTCGACCGTGAGCAGCAATGGAACCCGGGTCGCTGAGTTCACAGCGCAGGCCAACCAGCCAGACAGCCAGTTGGCCAAATGGCTCAATTTACTCCACCCACTCCCACATCCATATACACACACACACACACAAAGACGCCCACAGAAATACCCACTCACACAGACACACCCACATACACACCTGCAGACACACGCAGACGTGACATGCACGCGGCCGTCCGTTTCCCACCTGCAGCTGCAGGAGCTGCTGCGCTTGGCGGCCGAGCGCGGCATCGAGACGGAGCTGGTGAACCGACGGCAGCTCGACGAGCTGAGCGAGGGCCGCCCCAACCAGGGCGTGTGCCTGGAGGCAAGCCGGCGCGACTTCATGGACTACGATGCCCTCTTTGCCGGCTCCGCCGACGTCGTGAGCGCCGGCGCCGCCGAGGTTGCGCCGGCCAGCCAGGGCGAGCCGGAGCCCGCGGGCGGCGGAGAGGAGAGCAGCGACCGGCAGGCGGAGGATCCGGTGAAAGCGGAAGGCAAGTGCCCGTTGCCGTCGTGGGCCGGTGATGGTTCGCTCGTCTCTCCCTCCGCCGTCATCTTGATGAATTGTCGCGGTTTTGGAGTCGCGATTCGATGAGTCCTTTTTTTTCGGCTTGTTTGTACTCACTGTACTGTTGAACACAGTAGTAGAGGGTTTTCTCGACCAATATTATCCATGAGAGAGGTTTTTTTGGGTTACATCGCGTAAATATAATTGTGGTATCAAACCCGCCACCACCCGACACAGCCAGTTAGTAAGGTTTGTGTAATCGGTTCTGTCGGGTGGTGGTGGGTTTAATGACACATTTATATTTACACGATCTAACCCATAAAAACCTCTTATGTTTGTGTACTGTTTGTGTCCTGAGTGTGTCATCTGTGTCACGTGTCCTGTTTTTCCTGTTCGGTCAGTCCTCCCGTCTCTCGCCTGTACACTGTGCGTCTCATTCCGGGTGACGATGACGATCGTCGGTTCCCTGGAGCTGTCGAGTGACGCACCGCCCTTTCCCACAGCGCAGTCGCCACCGACGACCCGGCCGCTGGGTCGCCCGCGAGCGAGACCGTAGCGGACGGCGGCAAGAGGCGCCTGTGGGTGGTGATTAACGAGGTGAACGATCCCATGAACCTGGGCGCCGTGCTGCGCTCCACCTACTTCATGGGCGTCGAGACGGTGCTCATCACCAAGCAGAACAGGTGTGGTGGGGGTGGCGGACAGACGGACGGACGAATCGAGGGACGGGACTGGGAGACGGACGAACAGGGTGGATGGAAGAACGGACAAACGGGGGAACAGACTGGGAGATAGACAAATGGATGCGCGGATGGAGGACGCACGGATGAATGAAGTCGGGCTGGGTCGGTGGAGTGTGCGCCAGAATTGCGGCGTTTTCACTCCTACGGGCTGATGTATCGTGCGTGATATTGACAGACGCGCACCTCTTGATCATTTGGGATAATGGATAGGGGGGGGCGGGGATGGCAATCTCACTAGATCTCGGAAGTTATGCAGGGTTGAGCCTGGATAGTGCCTACTATGCATGCCAGATTGTCATTCAGCATCTGCGGGGGCTATGCTGCATTGCGGGCAGCAGAGGCCAGTGCAGCAAAACCCATTCCTGCGCTGCACTTTCTATGCTCCCACGTCAGTTCTTTCTCTCCGACTTCGCCCTCCTGCACTGACAGTCTGCGTGAAGGATCTCGAGCGGACGCTGCGTTCTCGGGTTGCGCCGGCGAGCTCTGCTGCACGGCGTCCGACGTTTCGTTCCATCCGCTGGTGGGAGCTTCTTTGGGTGTTCCGACGTGTGGAACGAAACGTTGGACGTCGAACGTTGTGCTGAACAACAACAATAACGCCATGCGGCTTACAACCCGAGGTTGCACATAGGAGAGCTCTACCGCACAACCGCGGAAAGCTACGCAGCAGCGTTGATTTAGAATGCGAGTCGCAACATGAAACCTCGATTGAAAACTAATTTCTTTAGAACTGCTTTTTGTGCTAAATACGTTCAACATTTGTACATATAATCGTGTGCCTGCTGAACAGTATCGTCGTTTCTGGTGTCCGCCCGGCGCCTTCTCATACTACCCGCACCCCCCTCACTCTTTGCCCCCCCCCCCCCCACCGTCCTTGCCCCCCCAATCCTCTCCCGCACCAGCTGCTCGCTGACGCCGACCGTGAGCAAAGCCAGCGCTGGCACCGTGGAGGTGATGGACATTTACACGACGGGGCGGCTGCCGCAAGTCTTGCAGGTGAGAAACTGCGGCGACAGCGACGACAGCTCAACCCTTTCCCGTTCCGATGACGTACACGGGTGTCGTCATGACGTGTGTGTACGTCATCAGTTTTTATGCCGGTTCTGTTCCAATGACAAAGGTGTATATTTCGATTTAAAGCTTTCGTGACTGCAATGATTCATCTTCTTTGGTTCTTTCGGTAAAGTCACGTAGAATGAGAATAAAATAATAAATTGATAAAATAAAATAACACAATAATATTCTCACGACGTTTTGGTCCTACCAGACAGTCTCGTCCCTTCACCTGATGAAGGCCGCTTGTGTTGTGGCCGAAACGTCGTGAGAATATTATTGTGTTATTTTATTTTATCAATTGATTATTTTATTCTCATTCTACGTGACTTTACCGAAAGAACCAAAGAAGAAAGGTGTATATGTTATCAGTTTTTTTTATTCTGGAACAAAAAAAAAATACCTTTTTCGGTACCGAGGCTCGCGCAAGGCGATGTTGCACAGTTTGGCGCCAGCTATCGTAGAGTGCGGCGATCGTGTCGCTACGGCTCTCTGCGGACGAGTACAATGTTTTTGAAAACAACGGCGCTACGCCTCTCGAAATAGAATAAACGTTGTGGAGACAGGCAGACAGTCGATGTCCGGCGGTCTCGGGGTCGACGATGGCATTCGTCGTTTCTTCTCGGAGAGGGTCGCGTGAAGGCCGAAGCCTTCCACTCGGCCGTAAAAGGCAACCACTGTTGAGATGAGCGCGACTCCCCAGGTCGCCCCGGGGGTTGTTAACCCTCCTTCCTCCGTTGCCGTCTCGCGCGCAGGAGAAGGCAAAGCAAGGCTGGCAGATCGTGGGCACGGTGGGGTATGCCAAGAGCACGGGGTCAGCTGTGCCGGTTGTGCCCTGCGACCAGTACCAGCTGAAGGCCCCCACCATCCTCCTCATCGGTGCGTCGCCGCGTGACACCGTGAAGCGTACGAGAGAGGGAGAGAGAAAAAGAGAGAGAGACGTGCGCTCAGGATTTTATGTCGGGAGTCGGGAGAGAGAGAGCGAGAAAGAGGAATGCGTGGATTACGGAGCTTGCGCAGGTTGAGGGCGTCGTTCGAACCTAAACTAAACTTTGTATATTACCAGGTAAGGCCCTCACTTAGCTATGTAGCTCTTTTTCAGAAGTGACCTGGCCACAAATGATAGCCCAACGAAGTGGTTTTATCACGTAGAAATGCATAGCAGCCAAATACTGTAAACGCACGTTGAATCCAAATGTTGAGGAAAAACCGGAGGACCCGGAGAAAAATCCACATGACCTCAGGGAGAGAGAGAGAGACACGCACACCAAATATAAAGCAGGTGTCAGGGTTGGCATCAAACTCACGACCTCCTGCATACCAGGCGAGGTAGTTAACATCTTGCTACCGTGAGATGTGAGGCGAGGGCGAGCGAATGAGCGGCGCTGGGGTAGGACGCATCACTCGAAGGGGCGCGATGGGCACGGTCAGGAATATTTGCGTCCCAAAGAAGCCAGGAACGCCGACCGTGGCTCGTGTGCAGGTGCCGGGCGTGTTGTTAAGTCGCCAGATCGCGAGAGATGGCGACGGCTTGGGGGGGGGGGGGGGGAGGCCTTCATCCATGATGGCAATGATGGTGACTGGTGGCCAGCAGAGGGCACAGTGCAGCAGACAGAGCCTTTGAAGAAGGTAATTAGCCTAACCTCTTCTACACTGGCCAGACGTCTTGGGAAGAGGCGAGAGTACCGACACTTGACCCCACAACACATGACCTGCCTATCGACCGTGGGTGGGGTGGGGAGGGAGCGGGGCAGCAGGGGTGGGGGAGAGGTCTATTATGCGGCGTTCAAGCTGAGTAGTGTTCTCATGAATGAATGAAAGATTTGTCCTCTAGCTGCAAGGACAATTGCCAGGCACATGGGATTTGAGCATGGGAGACCCCCTACGGTTGTGTCTTGTACACAGTGTGCGGTTCCCTATGACATTTTGTTTTGTCCATTCCCACACGCTAAGATAGTGACAAAGATCCCCCGTATAGCCTTTAGCAGACTGTTGGGCCACGTGCTGTTAGCGAGTACCGAGGAAGGCCGGGACAGCACACGAGGGGTTGGGTGGCCAGCACCACGCCTTTGTCTCCATAGTAGCGATGTATACACGCAGCACCAGGTACTCATTTGAGGCCGAGTCGACCTAGGGGGAGGCCCAGGAGCAGTTCAGATAATCGTCGCTGGTGTTGGCCATGAGCGGGAATCGAACTCGAATCGCCGGGTTTGTGGCCACCACTCCCCATAGCTCACAACAACAACCGCCGTTCACCACAAAGTGGCGGTGACATCCCCGCGGCGCTTGTGCTATGCTAGGCGCTCACGCGCTCAACCCCACACTCGTCCAACTACACACGATGGTGATGATAATGACGCCGGTAAACGTGACGGCGATGTTGGAGTGACTATGATCACGGTCAGGTTGTGTTAAAGGCCCCTTCCCGTGTTCGCTGCTGTACACTCCGCTCCCCCCCCCCCCCCCCACCTCGTGCGCTCGCAGGCAACGAGGGCTACGGTCTCCCGCAGGAGTTGCTCGCGCTGTGCGACGTGCTGCTCACCATCGAGCCGCGGCGCGAGCTGCACCGCGGCATCGAGTCCCTCAACCTGTCCGTGGCAACGGGTGAGTGCCGCTCCCTCGCTCGCACAAAGACAAAGATCCCCCGAATAGCCTTAACAGACTGTTAGCGAGCACCTGTGAAGGCCAGCATGGCACACAAGGGGGGGGGGGGGGAGGGGAGGGGGGGGTAGGGGGCCAGCAACCACGCTCGGCCGCCTTTGTATCCAGAATCATACTAGAGGAATCAGATGAGCTATAAAGCTCTTTTTCACATGTCCAGTAGTTTTCACAGATGTCCCTAATGGCGTTATTTACATGCCGCACGAGGTACTCATTTGAGGGCTGAGTCGACCCAGGGGAGCTCGAGGACCGGTTCAGATAATCGTCACTGGTGTTGGTGGCCACGAGCGGGAATCGAACTCGGCGTTGTCGGGTTCGTAGTGCAGCGCGCCAACCACATGCTACCAATACCCGCCATTTGCCACGAAGTGACGGTGATATCACCACGGTGCCTGTGCCAGGCCAGGTGCACTTTGAGGCAATGTGAAGTGTTGAAGGCTCGCTGACAGGAGGTCTTGGGTCAGACCCATGGGTTGGCTGACTGAGATGACCGGTAGATGCACACCAGCTGTACCCCCTACTGAGCCAACTTGCTGCATTTTATCCGCCCGGCGCTCCGCTCATTGTTGTGAGCATCACTCTACCTTCCGTTGTTGCTGGAGGGTGACTGCCTCAAACTGCCCAGTAGCGTCCCTCACGAGCCTCCTCCATAGAGGCCGATCTTGATTCCGCTGGTACCACTCGTCAGCAAGTCCACTCAGCTCCCCACATCATCTCGAACAGTATCAGTCCATCTCTTCTCCAGCCCATGTCGTGCCTGTTTAGCCCCCTCTATGCAGCCAAACAGAAGCTGCTTGGGCATGCGGTGGCTGGGCATGCAGGCTACATGAACCAGCCAACGCAGCCTTGCCTGCTTACTGATGGAAATGTGCCCAGATCTTTCAAGGATTTGTGAACTTCTCACACAATCCAGCCTGGTTAAACCTAGGATGGATCATACGCAGGCCAGCCTAAATGTTTCTAACTGGCGAAGATGTTCCATTATGGGGGTCCACGTTTCACAAGCATAGAGAAGGGAGGACATGACTGTGGCCAAAACTTCGTGCAGAGCGTCAGACTAGGTAGCTTCCACACAGCATTGCGCAGCCGATGAAAATATAATGTCGCCAGACTGATTCAGAGTGAGACCTCTGCTGTCAAACCGGAGCTGGTCTTAAGCATACTGCCCAGGTATGGTAAACTCTCCACTCTGTCCACAACCAATGGGGAGCTGAGGGGGTGGAGTGTTTGGTGGCACAAAATAACCAGGCAGGTGCTTAGATTTGGTGGGGCTGATGGTAAGACCCCACCTCTTAGTGGCACACTCCAGGTTCAGCAGCAGCACTTCCAACTCTTCGTCTGAGCAGCAATCACCAGATCATCAGCAAACATATAGCGTGGTGTACGCTACAGTACACCACGCTATTTATAAACATACACAGACAAGACAAAGATCCCCTGGATAGCCTTAACAGTCTGTTGGGGCAAGTGCTGTTAGCGAGCACCTATGAAGGCCGGCAAGGCACACAAGGGGGTGGATGGCCAACACCACACCCGGCCGCCTTTGTCTCCCTAGCAGCAATGTTTTTATACACCGCACCAGGTACTCAATTCAGGCTGAGTCGACCTAGGGGGAAGGCCCAGGAGCAGTTCAGATGATCGTCACCGGTGTTGTTGGCCATGAGCGGGAATCGAACTTGGGTGGCTGAGTTAATAGCGAAGCGCTAACCGCTACACGACCGCTCCCCAAGAAAACACATACACGAGGACACAGATAATGAATACACAGACACTAATAATACAGGTATTCTACATGCACGCTGTCGAAAAAAAAGCGCGCCAAAGCAAACTACTGAGAAAAACGTTCAAACAAAAACGTTAAACAAGCAAAAAAAATATCAAGAAACGCGATATTAACGCAACACCAATGAACACCGAGATACATTTCGCACCTACCTTCATACACACTCGCTTTTAATCTCAGTTACACAGATGCGCATACACACCATCACGCGATTGCTCAGCTGCTCTACTGCCTCAGCCGCTCACACCTCCCCCACACACACAATGCTACCACTCCCCGGCACACGCGCTCCACCGTTTATCGTCAGCGTCATTTACCAAGGCTCAATGTGGTCATCATCATCGCCGTCAGCCATCACTGCCAGGTGAAGACCTCCCAAATCTACCGCCGCCACCGCACTTATTTCATCGCTCCATCGTCCTCCCGTACGCGTTCCATTACTTGGTCGGCCATCCTTAACCCATCCTAGCGATGTGCACTGCCCAGGCCCGCTTATCCCCGTAGTTTGGATGATGTCATAAACCGGCATGTGTTCTCTAATCCACGCGCTCCTCTTTCTGTCTCTCAATAAAATTCCAAGCACGCGTCTCTCCATGATTATTTTCGCTCAACACCACGGCTCTGGACCACGTGTCATAGCAGGGGAGTACACGCTGCCTAGAGCCAGGCTAGGGCACCAACAGCAGACATGTGGCGCATTGTTCACAACAGCGAAACACGAGATGCAGACAGCCATTGACTACCGATGGCTTTTCTTGGGGTCATTCCACTGCTGATGAAGCCTCCTGAGTGGAAACAAATGCAGTCGGTCGTGGAGAGTGAAGGTTATGGGAACAAGTGGGAGAGAAGTGGTGGTGGTCAGACTTGGTGATTTCGCAACATTCCGAGTGCACGCAGTACCAGCTGACAAAATTAAATTGTTTTCCATGTGCGTGTCTGTTTGTGTGCGGCACACACAGCAGACCCAGAGTGAAATAATAAACACAGACACATTTCACTGAAGATGGCGCATCGCGTAACCAAGGATTTCTATCTCTCCGTATCATTTGTTCTCTTACACACCGCCCAGTACATCGCCTCCTGTATAACTTTGTGTTGGTTAAATATAACTTATTTAAAAATTAAAAAGAGACTGCATTGGCAGTGGGGCACAAATGCAGATAAAAGAGCTGATTGTGAACAAACGTGGTCTCAAATAGCTGTACAAACGGCCAGTGTTTCAGGAAATGGCCATGGGTGTTGTTTGACCATACTTCACCAATCTTGTCAATGCAGGTTGGTGATGGGGAGGGGGGGAGGAGCACCCGGCATTGATTCAGATGTCACTCGCCATTGATGTCAGTCATGCTGTTGATGAATGTTGTTGCTTTTTCAATTCACTTCCCTGGCGATCCACCGAATCGTCGTGGATCAGAGTTGATCCGACGCATTGTGGCGAGTTTAGCGGCCTCCAGCGGCTGGAGGGGTAACACAAATCCATTCGTACAAACAACACGTTTAGGAATCGTAAATAAAAGTCGGTCCAAACGCAAAACGTAGTCCAAATAAACCCAATAAAAAATGACCTCTAGTCGACACCAAACTCGGTCCACATGAAATCTAGTCCAAGTGAACTATAGTCCCATTCCACGAGCAGAGCTCCAGCCCCTGGTGTGCATGCCACGCAGTTTACAGCATGCGGCGCTGTAAACACCGTACATTTGTAACGATGCAGCGGTTAAAAATCAATGCTTGCGATACACGTGTCGAATCGCACGCGTGTACGAATTGGACACGATTTGTCCAAATGACATGCGAATGCTGCGCTTAGGCTTGCGGTGGCTTCGTGGGGTGTTAAGCAAACTTGCGTTGATTTTTAAAAATAATATTTTACGCAACTGTGCCATTTCATTGTCACATTCCTTAGCCATGATCAATCCATCGCTGGATGAAAGCCTCCCCTAATCTTGTCACCATTGCCGCTGCATGTGATATGGAGCAATTTTTACATTGCAATGAACAGTAGGTGGGTCACATCAAAGATGTTCTGGGGAAAAACCATCGACGACCCTTATGCACCCTGATTCGGTACGTGTGGCCGTTGGTGGCCACTAAAATCGATATTTATCAGCGACTCTGCGTCATTTCTCTCTTTCTAGGGATCCTGTTGTACAATTTGCTCGGCAAGGCCGCGGAGGAGAAGCAAGAATGAAGGACGCGTGCGTGTGCGAGGAAAGCGATACATATTCGTAGTACTTGATATGTTTTTATTATTATATGGCACTACGAGAACACGCGAAAAGATGAATGCAATTTGCATGTGGAGCGTATCACTTTGTCCGTCTCGACTGCTGTCAAAAGGGGGCGAGTGAGATTTGTCGTCGTACTGTGAAATGTGTTTGATATTTTGTAGACATTGGACGTCCGAAGATCCCCAGGTCACTCTTGCAAATGAGGCTTGTCCTGGACTCTTTAAAAGTTGTCACCTGGGTAAACAAACAAAAAAATGAAATAATTAACTCGCCCAACATTTCAATGGCTCAGTCAAGGTTCGCAGCTGCGATTCGTTTGTCTCGGTTATTACCGCCCCCGTTTGTATCGTTTCTCGGTTTGTTTTTGTACTTCGTTTTTTCACTCCCATTATCTTAAAAATAACATCGTCATTTAATTGCATATAATTAGCATACTTCGTATATATAATCGGCACTTGGCGCGTGAAGTTCTATCCACGGTTGGAATATGAATGGGTTTAAAAAAAGTTTCGGGACTGAGAACTTAAAAGAGCAAGTCTCAAAATAAAATGTTTCAAACAAAAAGCCGGTATCGAGTGATTCCCTTCACATCTGCGTCGCATGAATGGTCACCCCAGGACTATCCAGGGCACCATGATGGAGCCACCACAAAACATCCCTCCCATTTTAGTGGGGGGGGGGGGGGGTCAAGGGAGGATGCTCCACCACCAGTGGAAATTAACTCAAGATTCCACGTGACCTCCGTACGAGCGTGGAGACGGTGAAGACAATTTCTTTCCTGTGGCCCTGCACTTTGAAGATGCTAAGGGTTGTGTTGGTGGATTACACAAGCTTTTGTGTGACTGCTGAAACCTAATGGGCAGATGTGACCAAGAGATGGCGATACAATAACGTGTACAGTATTTGTGAACCAATCTGTGTGGAGCTTGAGTGTTATTGCTTATCCTATGCGTTTTCTCTGGGTATTCATTTCCTGCTGCAATGCCACCGATTAATGGCATTTGTCCAAACCACCTTATGCAGGATTCTCCTGAAAATGTCTTGCGGCTTCGTGAAACGTTCATGAAAAGGGGGCGGTGTGTGTACATATGATTTTCATATTGTCGGGCTGTGTAAATCATAACTAGAAACTGAATAAAAAATCATTTTTAACTCGACATGAAGGTCTACTTTTAAAACATCTCTCCCATTTTTAACTCGACATGAAGGTCTACTTTTAAAACATCTCTCCCAATTGCCGCATCCCAAACTTTGACCTCGCGATTTGACCTGAACCCACGAGGACCGTTACACAAAACCCCTCCCGCCACCGCTCCAGACTGAGTGAAATTTGCGAGCGAGATTGCGCAAATAGGGTCGCGACTCGCTCCATAATATTGTTTAACTTCGATCTCGTGTGTGAACCTTGGGGTTTAAAACGCACAAACTTAACAAACACAATCTTGAAATGGTGCCACTATGTTTTTTTGGAGACCCTGGGCAGGGGCTTATGTTTTAAACATTAACCCCAAGGTTGACATGAACTCACTGAAATGTCCAAAAGGTTAATAAGATAGGCTTAGAGACCACTGAAAAGCGATACGCAATGTACCCCTGTACAGCAATGTCAATACAAAACAGCAAGATCATCATCATGACGAGCCATGGTCAATTCACTGCTTCGTTCGTACGAAGGCTTCCCTGAGCCGCCGCCTATCGCGACCCTTTGAATAACAAAGCAAAAAAATTGAAGTTCAAGAGAAACTGAAAAGCGATCGCCCACCCATGCCCTCCACCTAATGAAACCCACGTGGAGATTACCGCTTGCGACCCACGCCGGCGTCACGTGATCGAACCATGTTTCGGCCGAGGGCAGTGGGCGACCCCCCCCCCCCCCGGGGTGAGTCCCCATTGGTCGAGGTGTCAACCCAATCGCCGGGCGCTCAACCAATCGGGGCGCGTGCTTCAGCGAGGCTCACGCCCACTGCTCCCCCGCCCACTACTCGGCAGTGTTGTCAGATTTGGAGGTTTTTAACCTCCACATTGCATTTAAAAGTTATGTTTTATATTTCACTCCCCCCCATATAATTAAGTGATAACACACGATTACCTTCAAATGGTTAATTGCATGAACCCCCTTGTTTTTAATTGCCCGGGTGCATTTAATAATACTGCATTTTGAATAATGTTTTTGTCTCACATTAAATATTGGTACGTGTACAGTAAGGTTAAACAAAAAAGCATTAACCGGTACAGAATTATGCAATACGCCAGTAAACATAGAACATTGGCCCAACTGCTTCGAGCACATGCCAAATGCCAATGTTGGACCGACGTTTGCTAACATGTTTACAGGACTCATCCTAAAGTTTCACAAACACTCCATTCATTACGTAAACAGCCATCAACCCTGGGTCTATCCACTGCTGGATGAAAGCCACTCAAAATCGTAAATAAAAGACTGTTCAAAAGACATGAAAAAAATGAAGTGGAATACAACGTCTTATTTGTTGACAAATAACCGTTTATTCAAAACATAATTCAACAATCGTGGTCATTCTACTGCTGGATGAAGGCCTGCGCCCGGAGATCTACAGAGGAGTTGTACACCCCTAGCTGCCACTGCTATTCAGTGGCCTAAAATATGGCTCTAGATTTTGGTGTTATAATGAATTTATGTAGTTTATTGTAAAAAAATTCGGTCACAGTCCCTACGATCACTGTTACATTGGATTTATGGATTTTATTTTGGTGATTTCGAAAAGTTTTTTTTGTTTTGGCCATGTTTTTGTTTATTGTAGTACGGAGTTGACTGATGGCCTTAATCTTAGTTGTCTTGTGGTTGTTGTTATTTTGACTTGCATCCCACTGGGATTTTTGCACACAGCGTTGGTGTACGGTGCTATTTCAGGAATATTTTGATATTTTTTTCTTGTATTTTCTGTTTGCACAGTCACATAATCACTTTAAGATGTTTTCTTGTTCATGTTTTTTGTTTGTTACGGTTGCACCCGATTCAAGAGCCGAATGGCTCACAGGGCTATACCAAATAAATTAACTATGAACTATGATTTAATCGTTCCACCTACTTCGTGGACGTAATCTAAGTCAATCATCCCTTTGTCAAAAACATTCAAGAACTCTCCGTAAAGTTAGACGCAGCAACCCCGAACAATTGTGCCCGGTGTCAATTACTGGAGCTTATACGGCATCGTGTCTCATCTCCCTAACGGATTATACATTTCAGTATATAGAAGACGAACTCCTGAACCTTTCCTTTAAAATACCGTACAGGAGAAAACCACAACGACATATGCACATCGACCAGAATACGAAAAAGACGCACAATTGTATTTAAATGGAAAAAAAAACCCCACACAGACAAGGACACATGGTTGGAGGTGGGACAGGCGGGCCTAGTAACCTGGAGTTTTCTGGTACACGATTTTTTTTCTTCCCATTAACTTTCCAACACCGCACAGTCAGTTTGCTTCGGATGCATTTCTCCCGGGTTGGGGTGACCGAGGCGCCGCGTGTACCACTCGGAACTACCCCACGCACGCGCGGCGTGTACTCCACGTGCACGCGCCGCGTGTACCACTCGGAACTACCCCACGCACGCGCGGCGTGTACCACTCGAACTATCCCACGCACGCGCCGCGTGTACTCCACGTGCACGCGCGGCGTGTACCCCTCGAACTACCCCCACGCACGGGCGGCGTGTACCACTCGAACTACCCCACGCACGCGCCGCGTGTACTCCACGTGCACGCGCGGCGTGTACCCCTCGAACTACCCCCACGCACGCGCGGCGTGTACCACTCGAACTACTCCACGTACGCGCGGCATGTACCCCACGAACGCGCGCGGCGTGTACCCCTCGAACTACCCCACGCACGGGCGGCGTGTACCACTCGGAACTACTCCCACGCACGCGCGGCGTGTACCACTCGGAACTACCCCACGCACGCGCGGCGTGTACCCCTCGAACTACTCCACGCACGTGCGTGCATGAACCCCACGCACGCACGTGCGGCGAAGGCGACCACGTGCTGGCCCAGCGAAGGCGACCACGTGCTGGCCCAGCGAGTTACCCCGGAAGCGCGAGCGAGCGCGCCGTGGGGTCAGGGAGCAATGCCCGACCATGGACCCCATCACGCCATGCTGAGACGTTTGTGGGACCAACCCTCAATCCGACACCACCACCATCATCATCATCACCAACAGCAGCACACACCTCCACCACTGCTGTCACTGTTTCTGACACCATCATCATCACTACCACCAGCACAGTCGCCGCCGGCTGACAGCGGCAGCACCATTAGCAGCAGCGGCATCACTGACAGCAGCAGTAGCATCATCATCATCCATACATATACTGTACGAACACGCTCGGGATACATCGCTTCCACAACTACTTAACATCATCACAGTCGGCTGACAGCACCACCATTATCACCACCACCACAAAGCACCATCAGTAGCATCACTGTCAGCAGCATCTGCGTCACCCGTACATACATACGACTGTACATACATAGACGCACTCGTATTATATCACTGTAGACCCTCGTGCGCAGCTTTAAACTTTGCTTTGTCGAAGCTGGGCTGCTTCAATTCGCACTCGCGCAAGACCGTACTTGGCCCCGGCCCGGCACCGTCCCGTTGCCGGGTACAGGTGCATCTACACCGGACGGAGGAGTGGTCATTACCGCCTGCAGCAGCGGTAGTGGCCAGCAACGCACGCAGGTGAGTGCCGGCCATGGAAGTGATCGTAGTTATTGATTAGTATCGTACTGTATGATTACTCGGCAACGCTGCATGCAAGTGACTAGCTTAACACTCGACTTGCAATGCAAGAGAGGTTTGCCGATTCGATTCGATTTCTCGGCGCGGCAGTTTAAACAATGAGGGCAGGTTTAATTTTTTTGAATTTTTAATTTTTTAAAAAATCTTACCCTAATACGCACAATTCCACCTAACACGGCACACTCCGGCTCTGTCGATCCGGCTAGTAACATGTGTGTGTGTGTGTGGTACAGGTGGGGTAAAGTGTGGGTAACTCACAACCTATTCCAACACGGTCTGGGTGAGCCGTCTTCTAAGAGCACGCCAAAATAGGTGGTCACTCTTCGATTTAAATCTTTCGTGACTGCAAAGGATTCGTCTTTCCTTGGTCCTTTCGGTGAAGTCACGTAGAATGAGAATAAAATATTGTCTTTTTTAATTTTGTTATTTTATTATTCTCATTCTTACGTGACTTTACCGAAATGAACCAAAGAAGATAAGGTGGGTCACTCTTAAAACAGCGGAGGTGTCGTATCCGCCAGCAAGTGGTTGCCGGGTCGGCTATTTGCGGGGCTGCCGATTTCTTTTCTCGACGATAGTTGCGAACTTTGCGACCTTAGTTGTTACAATGCGGGGGGGGGGGGCCGGGCCCCCCCCCCCCGAGAGCTTCATCCAGCAGTAGATAGAACCGTGGACTGCTGATAGGGCATTAACAATGAGAAATTGAATTGAACGGTGCGGAGAGGCTCTGTTCAGTCATTACCGATTTCGTGTTGTTACGATTTTACAGTCGCGGT